AAAGAGTGTAATGAAATTTCTGAAGGTTGGTTACAGGATTACATTTACCAGTGACTTACAAAAGCACGTCATGAATATGAGATCAGATAGAAATTTTGATAGAATTCAAATAGAAATGAAAATCAAAAGAAAATAGAATCTTCCGTTCTACATATTTTATGATTAATTCATATTACGCAATTTTCATAACATCGTCTGCAAATAATATTATATATAACAGACAATCTTATTTTATATGAAGATATTTTATATTGTCGACCCCCGATATACGTTCTTACGGCATATATATGTTTTGTAATTACAAATAGCAATCGTGAATGGAATATATTAGTTCCATGTATATTGATAGATATAGAAAAGTATTTCTTATCGGTGACATGTAATTTTTCCGGTAATTCCACAATATTACAAAAGGCATCATTTATTCTCATTATCGCTCGTTATGCATGTCAGACAATGGATTTAATTGATATTAATCATTGTTGTCTGAGGACAGGAAAATACATCTTGACTTTCTTGTGGTTATCGCAACATTAATAGATAATATCGATTATCTACATATAAAAAATAAATATACATTTTATAATACTAGCACAACACAACGCGTGCTTCGCGCGCGCTATTTATTCTTTTTCATTAAACATTTTTAACGATATATACACAAAATAATAACTGTCAAAATATGCAATGACATCCGCTCACGAAGTAAGCGCAATGACAGAACCAATCAGCATCGCGAAAAAGCGACAACAATACACTTCGAGACTTTCGAGTATCGACTTTATATGCCTTTTTTTAGATAGGAGGATATATGATACTCTATCCCAAAATAACACTAATTTATTTAATATTCAGATATATTTAATTATTATTAATCTATTTTTTAATGTATGTGTTTTTAAATCTATATATAAAACATTACTATATTAAAACAGAAAAAGTAATCAATTAAATTAAATATTAAATAAAATATCTCCCTAATCTATTAAATAATTTTTTTGTTTGATATAGGGAGTTTATTTCGAGATTTGGAGATCATTGTTTTTTTTTCAATATTATAATTCAATTATTTTATTGATTGTTCAATTACTTTAACGATCATTAAAATAGCATTAAATCGTTAAAATATAAACTGTTCCAGTTTTAGATTTCACTATTATCGTAGCATTTAGTAAACAACAGAGTTTATTCATGAAACGATTTTTCACCTCGCCAGCTTCTAATTACGTCGCAAATTTATATTGTGTCGCGTGCAAACAACTTCTCAACTTATATTCACGTGATATGATTTTTCTTTTGCACGAGATATATTTATATCTTTTTACATAAACGCGATAACATAAATAAAGATTTACGTAAACGCGATAACATAAGCGAAAAATCCATGATATAGATCATAGATTAATAAAATGCAAATTATCATATTTGCTCTCATAAAATTTATTTAGCCGATTTACTGCCGTGCTATCTTTTATTTGCATTGATGTATGTTTTAATACATGTTCTATACATCATTAATAAACATTTTATGTTATTAATAAAATTTGTTCAAGAATTATATAACTTATAAAAATTTTTTTATTCATGAAAAGAGTTTCAAACAAATATATATTTTTTATGTCAAAACCATAAAACGATATTGCGTCACTAGAACGATTTAGTAATGAATTGATAACTTATTGAATGGTCATTGACCATTGATCGTGCCGTTTTAGATAGAGCGCATATAATCATCGTCATAAAGAGCACTAATGTATTAACATACACTAAATTTCTCCTAAATATTCATAAGAAAATTTTGTTTAACTTTACGTTATACTTATATAAAATTTTGTCTAAATAAATTTCTTTCATAATTTCTTTCTATATGTGAAATTTATTCTATCAATATTTAATATTTTTTGTGGAGCCTATAAACACCTATAAACCCCTATAAATATATCGTTAATAGTCATTAATAACATCAAACATATTTTTTATTATTCTCTATTATGTGCACAACCATTATCCATTTTATTCTCGATATGTGCAATTCTCAATTGTGCCTGTTTATTTATTGCAAAGCGTAAAATTTTCGCGAATATGTCTCTGCGCTGCGCATTTCCTTCACGTTCAAGTAACATGAATCAATTACACGTGACTACATCATGTTATAGCAGTTGGTTTGTGCGTCAAAAATATGAGTCAATAAATGCCATATCGTACGATGGTAAACTAAACTACACTAACATGCTAATTCAGATTTGCGCTTGCAATTTATTCGGTGCAACATTACGCTCAATGTCAAACACAATGCGTCAATGATCTAATTTGAAGACAATCTTCTGCACATTGCGATATATGCATAGTTCGATGTTTTGTATGCTTGATTCGTTAATATTGTTTCTTTTTTGTGAAAAACTTTCTCAATATTTTAATTTATATAAAATAAAAAAAATAAATTTTTCAAATAAAATGTTATTTAATAAAAAATGAAAGTAGATCGATCTCTTCAAAAAATATATAAAAAATAAGATATATTGCTTTTTATCACAATATAACAGTTTTCTTGTAACAATACAATTTTCTCTTTAAAGAAATGACAATTTAATCAGAAATATGTATAGAAGAAAATTATAATAAAATGAAGTAACTTAGGTAAATCTCACTTCAAGTGAATTCTAATTAATTATACAAGGTAAAGTTAATCTGACGCGAAATCACCTATTATAGTATATGCAAAGGGTGTACTACTGTTTTAAATATAATCTGTAAAAAAATTACAGTCTACATACAAGAGAATGTAATTTAATTATATACAAATGAAAACGAAATAAAAGTTACGAATTATATATCTTTAGTTGTAATAATTATAACAATTACAAATATATATATACACATATACACACATAACTATATTTAAAGAAAGTCATTTGTCTGTTTCAGAAATACCAGAAATAGTTGACAGAACATCAACAGATCAACAGATAAGTGATATCTTGTTTTAGGAAATAAAAAGTGACGTTTCAGTGCATGATGAGGACTGTCGCGTTGTGAAACGAGTGTTAATATTTTCCGTTAAACTGGAGACTCTGCTCTTAGCGATAACTACCAGAGACACCGTTATCGCGACCAAACGAAGATCATTTGTCGAGTTTGAGCTTAAACGAGGAGCGAAACATACGCGCGCGGAAAGAAATAGCTTTAAAACGCAAATACTAGTCACAAATATTTAAGGCGGCCTAAATATCAATAAGAAAATAATCTATTTTGCGAGGATAAAATAATTAGGTGTAGATAACTAAATTTGTTTTTTAATTTTATACGATAGTCAAATTAAAATATTAAAATAGTCGTAATATTGTGATTTTAACGAAAATACAGCGACCGACAAAATGCATTCCATACGCGCTCATCAATCGTTGAACAAACATAGAAATGCTTTACAAATATGGAAGATCGCTGTGAGATACTTCGCCGCAGATGTAGAATACAGACCAATCAGAAGTGTCCTCGTCGCCAATCGAGGTAAATAAATTGTTACTAATTTTTAGTAAAAAAAAAAATAAGCACTCTTTTTAAAAAATAGAAAACGTCAAAAATCTCTTTTTTATAGGATTGTTAACTTATAGCATAAGTTTTCTAATTTCTTTTAATAAACTAAAAAAATACGTTTAATATTGTTGCATTATACACCCACAAAGTCATAAAAATTTTTAATAGTAATTTTTCTGTCTTGTTTCTACACATTATGAAATCTTGCGTGATTTTCATCTTCTAAAATATCAAATTTTGTCGTATTGATCTGCTCTGTATTTATCTATAAAATTATTTAATTAATGACTTTGATATATAAACAGATTTCAAAAGATTGTAAGATGAAACTTATCTTACGTAAAAAAATTGAAAAGATTTGTATCACATACGTTATTACAAAATCATTGTCGATAACGACTCATTAACTCATTTGTTTATGGCAATGCCTATAATTATTAATATATTCACCATTTAGCGCAAATACAAATGATTGTCTACAAAATTTAAATCTGTTTTTATTTTATTATATTTTCATGGTTTGTATTGCTATGTTCTAATTACATAATTGTTATAATAATCATTATAAATTTATTAGTATCTAATACTGTAAATAAGAAAAAAAAAATTACCACGCTTCCTAAATAATTGTAAGTAATGCTTGCACTGTATAGGCATTGCTCGAGTGCTATTGACAAGTTAATGAATGTTGTTAGGAACTTACTCATTTTTGTAGAACAAGGTTACGTAATTAATCAGATGTGTAACAGCGTTATTCCTGATTTAGAACTAGCATGAAATGATTTAGAACTATAGAGAGTCTAGCATTCTAGACACTCCGTTTAATTAATCCCTATCAACACGTGAACTCCGCGTGTTGTGTTTCAATGAATTTCACACAAGAGAGAGCGATATATTTTATTGTCCCCAAAAATTCTAATATTTGATTTAATTATTATTTATTCGCTTCTATTTATGATTATTGTAAAAATATTACAAGACCAGTAAAAAAATAATACGTGTAAAATTCCTTCTTTGTATATATCCGACTTCTCACAATTATATTTGAAATTTTAATGCGTACTTTTAATAATGTTACAGGCGAAATCGCCATTCGCGTGTTTCGTGCCTGCTCGGAGCTCGGTATTCGCTCTGTGGCGATTTATTCAGAACAAGATAAGATGCAAATGCATCGGCAGAAAGCAGACGAAGGTTACTTAGTAGGCAAAGGATTACCTCCTGTTCAAGCTTACCTGAACATCCCCGAGATCATTCAAGTTGCCAAGGAAAACAACATCGACGCCATACATCCCGGTTATGGATTCCTTTCAGAGAGATCGGATTTTGCTCAAGCGGTGACTGATGCTGGTATCAGATTTATCGGACCTAGTCCTAAAGTCGTTCAGCAAATGGGAGACAAGGTATTTAATCTTTAATTCCACAACATTCCATATCATTGATTCTCCAAATACTCGTAGTTCTCCAAAAATTCTTGAGCCAGAAGTCAAAAGTATGGTATGTACATCCAATCGATAGGTGGCTGCTAGACAAGCCGCGATTGAGGCTGGGGTTCCCATCGTTCCAGGAACGGATGGACCAGTAACGACTTCCGACGAGGCGATAGAGTTCTGTATGAAACATGGGCTTCCGGTTATCTTTAAGGCAGCATACGGAGGAGGAGGACGAGGTAGGTTTAATATATCAATCTTTCTTCACTCATCATCTTCATCATTCCGTTTCTGTCTCCCTAAATAAACATAAAAAAATACTTAACGTAGTTTTATAAAGTGATCCATAAGATCTTTTTCAAGATTTCTTAAAATCTTGATTATACCTCAGATTTAAAAATAGAAGTGTGTATTTAAGTCTTAATTAATTGATTCAATCTTAAACTCAAGTCTCTTCCTCATACTTCATCAAAATTAATAGCGCTTATGTAAGTTAAATATGTTAACTCTTATTTTATGAAAACGAAACAAGATAATTCAATTACTAAAAGCATTTTGAAGAGAGAATACAGGAAATACATAGAATATTGTGCAAAATACGTTTTGAAACTATTATTACTCAAGCTGTCGTAATATATTGCTTTGAGTTAGCAATAAAGTCTTTTCCTGCTAAAAAATGTTCTTTTTCTTTTAAAATTGTTAGTTTAAAAGTAATTCAATGTTTTGGCATTATTTGATTTAGCATATCATATTTATTTAAAAAAGCATTATTTGATAATTTTTCATTAAAATTATTAATATGTAAATCCGCGTGAAAAATAAGAATAAATTAACCATAAAATAACGCAATAGGTATTATTTCTATCAAAGACATAATTGACATAATAATTTGTACATGTATAAATCACATAAACAAGAAATGTACTTTCCTTTATATAATGTATAAGTGTATGGAAAACGCGTTCGTTCCTTATTGAACAATACGAAAGTTATTTTCATACAAAATATGTAGTTATGACAGATTATTTGACGATAATGGCACAATACGATAGATTTGCATATTTTACAATACAAGAAAAACAAGCAGTATTTAACTGATAATAGGTACTTAAATACGTTATGTAAAATGCATAAAGAAAAATAATAGTATGCGACTGATAATAGGTATTTAAATACGTTATGTACAATGCATAAAATTTTTTTTTATATGAAAATATATTGTAAATGATAACTTAAAAATGTTCTTTTTTTCCTAAATAAAGATCATCGTTGATAAGAAATTTCCCTTACAATATTTACATTAAGTTAAATAAAAAGGATATAATATTAAAAATAAGAAGAGAAGAAGCTTTGAGCTTATCTATATTTTAAAAAATGTATTTTTTATAAAATATATTCCTTTAATTTTTCTTTAATATACTTATGTTGCAAAATACGGCATTCTAAAAAATTGTATTATTACATAGGTATGAGAGTCGTAAAACAAATGGAAGAGGTCCGTGAAATGTTCGATCGTGCATCTTCTGAAGCCGCGGCTGCTTTTGGAAATGGGGCGATGTTCATCGAGAAATTCATCGAGAGACCACGTCATATTGAAGTTCAATTACTTGGGGATCACGCTGGTAATGTCGTGCATTTATATGAACGCGATTGTTCTGTGCAGCGTCGTCACCAAAAGGTCAGTAAGTCGGTTAATTTTAATTTAACGTGTGTAATAATTAATTATTTAAGCATTATTGTCCGACCATTAGCCACTGTTGTCGCAATATTTTCGGCAATGTTTGTCATTCTTCTATATAAATATATATATATATATATATATATATATATATTTATATATTATCAACGTAGCCCTATGTAAGTTAACTAACTCTTATTTTGTCAAAACGGAACAAGGTTATTCGACTATTAGAAGTATTTTAAAAAGATACAGGAAATACATAAAATATCATGCAGAATATGTTTTGAAATTCTTATCGCTCAAGCTGTCGTAATATATTGCCTTGAGTTAGCAATTTTCTCCTGTGAACAGATTAGGAGTAGATGAATTTTTTACAAGGCTTCCTCAAGGATGCCTAAATACAAAAAGCAGGAACATATATTCTCTATGGTTATCTTGTTCGAAACAAGGATAATGACGCAATTATACAAGATTCATGATTATATAATAGTCCGCAAGTATATATATAGATCAAGTAGTTTCCAAATTAATAACTCGGTTTTACAAAATGCGACATTCAATTTCATTTTCGACTTATAAAAACACAGCTTTCTCGTAAAATTTGCAGGTAGTCGAGATCGCGCCAGCTCCATCATTATCAAGAAAGATTCGTGATAAAATGACCGAATATGCAGTTAAATTGGCAAGACACGTTGGTTATTCGAATGCCGGTACTGTGGAATTCTTGGTCGACGAATCCGGAAATTTTTACTTCATTGAAGTCAACGCTAGATTACAAGTTGAACATACAGTAACCGAAGAAATAACCGGGTAATGAATCAGATGTAAAAAATGATAAATATCTCTTTTCACATTTTTTTATATTCGATTGTAACATCCTCTCTTCTAATCATCATTCTTCTCTTCTACCTTTTTAATAATTAAGTATATAATTATAATATTAGAATAATTGTGTGTGTATGTTATATATAATTGTAATATTATTGTAATATTAAAATTTATAATAGTAATATTAATATGTGTAATTGTAATAGACATATAATTGTAATATTAGATATATTCATTTGCTTTGCACAGATGTCAATTATGTTATAATCATTTATGTCGTCTTTATTCTTTCAGAATTGATCTTGTGCAATCTCAAATTCGAATCGCCGAAGGCATGACATTACCCGAGCTCGGTATGACACAAGAAAAAATTATTCCTCAAGGATTCGCAATCCAATGCCGAGTGACTACAGAAGATCCAGCTAAGAACTTTCAACCGGATACTGGAAGAATAGAAGTCTTTCGTTCTGGTGAAGGAATGGGCATCCGATTAGACGGAGCCTCTGCGTTTGCCGGAGCTATAATTTCGCCATATTATGATTCGCTTCTCGTTAAGGTAGGATTAACGAATATAAAAAAATGGTTATTATTATAATATGTTATCAGATACATCTTATTTTTAATATAAATAACAAACCACACATAAATACCACACATATATTTTAATAATTTGGTTTTTTATTTTATCAATATTGCACAACACAGATCAACTAATTTTTATCACCTTAGCAGTTCTGCAATATTTTGAATGATACAGATATCTTTTTCATTTCCTCGAAAAATTTCCAAGTATACTATTATGAAGAATTTTTTATTTAAAAGCCGTTCCGCAAAATGTATATATGTGTACAAAAAGATCTTATATTCGAGAAATATAAATATTATCTTCTATTTTTCCTTAGATAATCGCCCACGCTGGTGATCTTCAATCATCTTGCGCCAAAATGAATCGAGCTCTCCGCGAATTCCGTGTGCGCGGAGTAAAGACAAATATCCCTTTTCTATTAAATGTTTTGGAGAATCAAAAGTTCCTCAACGGTAACGTCGATACATATTTCATCGACGAGCATCCTCAGCTTTTTCAGTTCCAGCCAAGTCAGAATCGAGCGCAGAAGTTGCTAAATTATCTCGGTTCGATTCTAGTGAATGGCCCGAGCACACCATTAGCTACTCAGCTGAAGCCGGCAGACATCAAACCGCATATTCCACAGATCGCTCTAGGTATATGATCGGGTATTAATGAATATAATAGCAATAATCTGAGGTAACGCCGACTAAAAGATCCCAAACGTCACTTTTGAATTTATATTCAAATGACGTATATATTGCACCTCAGTAATGCAATTCCCATTTAAAATGTATATTTCTTAAGATATAATCATAGAACATTCGATAACCGAATCCAAACTCTTATTATAAATTTTGGCCTTATAAACATTTGATCCATATTGTATCACGAAATTACTGGCCGTAATTAGAACAGAAGCGTACGAAGGATGTGCCTTCATGCGTGGATCAGCAAATCAGGGGTTGTATTTTTTTTCTTCTTTTTTTAATTTTTTTATGTAAATTGGATGTCTATTAATTCTTTGATCAAATTGATTAATATTGATGAATATTGCTACAGATTAATTTTTAAATATTTAAAGATCAGTGAAGATATGACATTTTCAAAGCGCTATGACTCTAATAATTTTCAATTTGTTAACAAATAAATAAAAAAATTGATATAAAAAATATTTTTACATTCTCATTATGCATTATGTTTTCTGATATATAATGAGACTTCACTTTCGTTTAATATTCTTATAGACTTACAAGTATCAAATTTAATATAATGTAACTTATTAACATTTTTTAAATTAATTTTTAATCAGCATACTTATATTTTTTTTAATGAGAGCAAACGATAACACAAACGTATAATATTTACAAAAGAAATAATAAACATCCTTTTTGCTTATCAATAACAATCCGTTTCTGCTTTCTTTGCTGGGTTTACAGGAACACTCAATTAAAGCATTATACTAAAGATCTTTATGTTCATTTCTGGTGTGTTCTTGTCTTTAAATTCAAGCGTGAATACTGCACTGCGCCACATTAAGCACGCTGCACATTGTGCGAATCAGTAAGTGGGGTTACAAAACATCTTCATATATCTCTACTTATTACCATTAGTAATATAATAATAATAATAATAATAAAGCATGCTGTTTTTATCTCGTTAGCGATTAATATTATTCGTCAGTAATTCTCAATATCTCATTCTCTCCACAATTATGAAAAAAACACATTTATAATTAAAATGTCATCGGTATACAGTATGCGTCCACGAAGGGAACAAACATCCAATAAATCAAAATAAATCCTGGTAATCTTCGATTATTTGAAGATTTACCATCATAGTTTTACACATAGTGACTTACAATTTTAGATATATTAATTTCCTTCTCATACGTACACACTGCATTGTTTATAGCATGCTTTTATTTTTTTGTTTGGCAATTTTTTTAGACTTTGCTAAGCTTGCAGCTGCAGAAGAGACCAATGATCCCGATGCACCAGGTATGGTTACAATATTATATGCAGTATTACATACTTTTTTTCTTGGCTTATATTACGTTAAAATCCAGTATTGTGCAGATTAAGAAGATAAACTCAACATAGGTATAGTATAACAAAGCAAAATTTTATGTATTTTTTTATTTGTTCTTTTTTTCAGATTGGCAAAATTATATTTATTGAAATTTAATTGATTTATTTTTTAAATTTGTGATTATCAATTTTTTGATTACAGAATTTAAAATACTGGATAAGATAGTAAAAAATAAATTATTGCTAATAAATGCTCTTAATAATAATATAAATATATTGCTATAACATATTAAAACGTGAATTCATTATTTAGTCCATAACAATATTAATTTATAAATGTGCTACGTTTGCTTTTAAATATACTACGTTTGCTTTGTAAAATATCTTTTTATTTTAAGTTTTGTGAAGCATTCTTCGAATACAAAAAATATGCTTAATAATGTTATATACAATAATATTTAATGAAATGAAGATTTTCATACACACATTCGATATCTTTATGCATTTAATTGCAAAAAAAAGTCAATAAAAAATAATCAATACGGATAATTAATATTTATAAAAATCAGAAAAAACGATGCTTTAAATATATATAAAAAAATATTCAAAATATTTTATATAATTCAATACTAAATTAATAACTATAAACATATTTACTTTATAAATAATTTATTTTTTATTGATTCCATTTTATTTATTCTTGATCAGTGAGAAATGTCGGTAGCCTATCGCTTCTTAGACATACTTCTTCGCGCTTATTAACAACAGCACGTATTAAATAACGATCCATTCTTCCCCAAGCATCAAACTGATCTTCTTCCGTGCTTTTTTCCAGATGTTTTGGATCCTCCGCAAGGATTCCGTCACATTTATAAGCAGCAAGGTCCAGAAGCCTTCGCCAAAGCTATTAGACAGCACAAAGGTCTTCTTTTAATGGATACTACATTCCGCGATGCGCATCAGTCCCTTCTGGCAACTCGCGTGCGATCGCACGATCTGCTAACGATCTCTCCATTCGTCGCGCACAAATTCAACAACCTCTATTCGTTGGAGAACTGGGGTGGTGCGACTTTTGATGTGGCCTTGAGGTTCCTCCATGAATGTCCTTGGGAACGGTTGGAGGATATGCGCAAGGCCATTCCCAATATCCCGTTTCAAATGTTGTTAAGAGGTGCTAATGCTGTCGGATACACAAACTATCCTGACAATGTGGTCTTCAAGTTCTGTGAATTGGCTGTGAAGACCGGCATGGATATCTTCAGGGTATTCGACTCGCTCAATTATCTGCCAAATCTTATCGTTGGTGAGTTTGGACAAAACTTAATTATAACGTGACTTAATAATAAAACATATTCTCAAAATAAATATTCTTCTTTACTCTAATTTATTCTATTTATATTTTACAAAGCCGATTTATGATGTCAGGATGTCTTCTCATAGAAATTTCTTTATTGAATTCGAGTTCCTCTTCAGGTATGGAGGCCGCCGGAAAAGCCGGAGGTATCGTTGAAGCAGCAATTTCCTATACGGGCGATGTGAGCGATCCGAATCGTACAAAGTACAACTTGAAATATTATACCGATTTGGCGGATGAATTGGTCAAAGCGGGTACTCATGTCTTGGCGATTAAAGATATGGCCGGATTGCTCAAACCAAGAGCAGCCGAGATGCTGATTGACGCGATTAGGCAGAAGCATCCGGATGTACCTTTGCATATACATACGCATGATACCGCTGGAGCAGGAGTGGCCTCCATGTTAGCCTGTGCAAAGAGTGGTGCCGACGTTGTGGATGTTGCCGTTGATAGCATGTCCGGCATGACTAGTCAACCTTCTATGGGCGCTATTGTTGCTTCTCTTCAAGGTATATAGTTAAAAAGACAAGTTTTATTTTTTTTATTAACTTCTAAGATAATTTTTCATTTAACTATATATTTAGATAACAATTTTTATTTAATTTTAAATTTAAAAACTGATGAAATAATATCAATTATACTCGTTATTTGAATTATCGCTGGAAATTTATTAATAATAAAAATCGCAATATTATATATATTAGAATTAAATTAAAATTAAAATTAAAATTAATAAAATTTTTAATTAATATCATGATAGGAACAGACATTGATACAAAATTGGATCTCTCTGATGTCTCGGAATATTCCGCATATTGGGAACAAACGAGAACACTCTATGCACCCTTCGAATGCACAACAACGATGAAGTCTGGAAACGCGGACGTCTATCTCAATGAAATTCCCGGTGGACAATACACAAATTTACAATTCCAAGCTTACTCGCTCGGTCTAGGCGAATTCTTCGAAGACGTGAAGAAAGCGTATAGGCATGCCAATCTCTTGCTCGGTGACATCATTAAAGTCACGCCTAGCTCTAAGGTTGTCGGTGATTTGGCGCAATTTATGGTTCAGAATAAACTGACGGCCGATGACGTACTGAAGAGAGCCGAGGAGTTATCGTTTCCTAAATCGGTGGTCGAATTTCTTCAGGGCGCTATTGGTGAACCTTACGGAGGATTCCCTGAGCCATTGAGGTAAGAGCTATCTCGCATACGAACATAATGCACGTACAGCATCGAAAGTGATTATCTTTCATTGATTTTTCATTGAATTTAACTTGCATTCGTAATGTATTCAGGTCAAAGGTTCTCAAGAACATGCCACGCGTTCAGGGCAGACCAGGTGCGAGTTTGGCACCGCTCGATTTTATTGCCTTGAAGAAAGAGTTGCAAGAATCTCATCCACACCTCACTGAAGAGGATGTCATGTCGGCCGCGCTTTATCCTAAAGTAACGAAGGACTACTTGAATTTCAGAGAACAATTTGGACCGGTAGATAAATTAGAGACCAGAGTCTTCCTTACGGGACCTAAAGTGGGCGAAGTATTTGATGTCACAATTGAGAAGGGCAAAACTCTTGGTATCAAAACTCTGGCGATTGCCGAGGATCTCACGAAGAATGGCGAACGCGAGGTATTCTTCGAAATGAATGGCCAGCTGAGATCTGTATTTATCAAGGATAAAGAGGCTATCAAGGTAAAGACTTACAAACTTTCGATACTACTTTATATATCGTCACCCTGTCAGAATACTTCAATTAAATTATAATTAAGATAAAAAAAATTAAAATTAGATAAGAATTAGAGTGAAATTAAAATAAAATGATCACTAAGAAATGAGATTACCCCCAGGATCAAAATTAAAATAAAACGGTAATTTTAAATTAAGATTGAATGAATGTCAATTTTAAACAAAGTGCAATATGAATTTTTTTTACTTCCTATGCAGGAACTTCATGTGCATCCAAAAGCAGTAAAAGGCGATAACAATCAGCTAGGAGCGCCGATGCCCGGTGAAGTAATCGATATTAGAATAAAAGTGGGCGACACCGTGGAAAAAGGTGTACCATTAGTTGTATTATCCGCCATGAAGATGGAGATGGTCGTACAGGCGCCAAGAGCAGGAAAAATCAAGAGTCTTGACATCAATTTGGGTATGAGACTTGAAGGAGATGATCTCATCTTAACATTCGAATAAACTCTCGTATTGATGAAACTGTTCGTGCATGTCAACTCCTTCGCATAAAGATGGCATAAAATATTTATTGTAAAAACTGTTGCAAACTGTTTGCTTCAATAAGTGCGGAAGATAAAATCTTCACCATACGACTAATTAAACAGTTAACACAATTAAACATAAAATTTCATGTAAAACGAATTATTTTTAAATTTATTATTTGTCTTCATTAAAAAAAAATTACAGCTTTATTTTAGAATATAATTCAAATATTCTGTACGTATTATTTGCGCACACGAAGCAAATGGCCAATATGATTAATGTGATACAATCGAACGAAGCTGCCTAAGAGATATCAATTAATACCAGATATAATATAGAGCACTCACTTAAGAAAATTCACTCTCTTAGGAATTTAAAAAATTCGATAATAATATTATCAAATTTTCCAATATAATCCGTTTTTGAAGGCTTTATACAGGGTGTCCCAAAGCACTCTTGACAACGCTCGTGAGCAGGTAGAGCACAATAAACTGAACAGAAGCGCCGTAGCGACGGAACGCTCACGCACACTACCAGGCGCGCGGCTAAGGGTCTACGCTGATTGGCCAGACGTTATTCAATAATAACTCCTTTATTAAGCGTTATAAAAAAAAATGTTACAGGACTTTTCTGTTCAGTTTACTGTGCTCTACTTGCTCACGAGTGTTGTCAAGGGTGCTTTGGGACACCCTGTATAAAATAAGCAATTGATGAGTGCTTGTGAGAATTTCACGTTTGATTATACAAAAATTGATATATTGTACATTATATATATTCTTTTTATATATTTTAAAATATAAACATAAGTATAAAGTATATATATAGATTTCTAATAAAAATATAATTGCGATCAATTTAAAATAAAATCGATGTACTTAAAAAAAAGAAAGAAAACGATTGTAAAAATTATGAAAATTTCTTGAGTTCAATTACTTTCCGTGCATCGATATCAATATTCAAATATGCATGTTTTGTATAAATCGATTATATTGGCATGATTAATCTTATCTGTTTTTTATGATGAACAGTGTACAAAAGAACGAGGAAAAAATCAAACACCTTCTCTTCAGTTGCTCAGATTTTATATTAATTGTAGCGTATATAATATAAGCGATCATCCTGGTAATTTAATTACAATAATTCAAGCTAAGCCTTCACGAACGATTTAGCAAGTACATGGAAAAAACTTCTTCAGGGAACAAAGGCAAGAATATTTCTGAAAACCTTGTCTTTGTCTTCAAGATCAAGATCAAATGTTACGTCTTTTGATAAAAAATAAATTACACAATGATTAAAAAAGATTATTTTTAGCAAAAGAATAATAAAAAATAATAAGAATAATAAGACATATATATATCCATGTTCTATGATTTTATAATTAAATACGTAATTTTAGGCAAATTGTTATTAAGAAAAGATATATATATATACATATAATTACTATGAACATTTATACAGTAGGATGTAAAATTTTGATGTTTCTGTTATTGTAATCTATCACATGCGATATATTTATTTAAAAAAGTGATTTCTGGAAAAGTGATTATGCATTTGTAGGATGCAAATATAACAAACGCAAAATATAAAATCATATTTTATATCTATCATATTTATACATTATTTTGTTATAACCGTTTTTTTTCAGAATCTATGGTAATTTGTTCCTTGGAAATAAATTTATTATATTATATATATTATAATTTATAATATATATATTAGATTATGTATTCTTAAAAAATTTTGTTTTATATTTTAAATTAAAATATATATATTTTTGAACAGAGAAAACAGATACCTCTTGTATCTACAATCACTTCAATTACCTCGTGTGTGTGTGTGTGTGTGTGTGTGTGCGCGTGCGCGTGTGTGTGTGTGTGTGAAAATATTCTGTCTAAAAATAAAATAATGTATTACTTGTCAATACTTCATTACAAGTTTTGTTTTAGCAAAAACACAATTGCATCCATAATTCTACTTAATAAATCATATATCCTATACATATTTCTATGCATATATATATATATATATATGTATAAATATACTTAAATACTTCACATGAATTAAAAAATTGTTTATTATTTCGCAAACTTTTATAACATTTTTAATTGTTTCAATAATTTCTTTAAAAAAATATCCTATTGCTATTAAATTATCTTATTTTAATTATAATTTTAATTAATAATTTAACACTTATTAATCATTTAACACTTTATCAATGATAAATATTTTAAATATTTGATAAATACACTTTTGTTTAAAAAATAAATTTTTTTTAATAAAAAAGAATTAACAACTAATCACTAAGGAAGTAAAAGGACAGGATTTTAGGACACAAATAGAAAGCTTCAAGTGTTCTGTAAAATTTGAAGCTTAGTGCATCCATTTATTGGAATAACCCATTATATACTCGAAAGAAGAAGAAGTTTTCATAACTCTTTGCAAATATGCGAAAAATGGCAATAGACTTGTGGTTCTTTGAGTCTGGGCGTATACAGCTCATAAATGACATTAGTAAGAGACTGTCACCGAACGCTGACAAATATATGTATATATGTGTATATATATATATATATATATATATATTATATGTATTTTATATATACATATATATAAATATATATATAGTATTTATATATTATATGGTATGTGTGTGCGTGCGCGTGGTGTGCGAAGAGAAGAATAAATACAAGTGTATGCATTTGTGCGTGTATATATATATATATATATATATGTATATATATGTGTAAAAATATATAAATGTATATAAAATTTGTATATATCTATAACTATTAGAATATAATAGTATATTATAAAAAAGTCACGAGAGTCCATATTTTCTCTCATACGCATAATGTCAAAAGTTGTCGCAAGATGCGTCTTCAAGTTACCTTGGAAAATGCGACAAAATGAAGTACAGTTTAAAAATTAAGTTCATCGTTTTAATATATGTCGCATTATTACTAATGTTGTATATTTTTATGTATATTAATACTGATGTATATTTATATTTGAGAAAAACAGTACGCGATATGCGCGAATACCGCGATTCCTATGTATTCTACCTCTTATTTTTTTAGTTAGTTTTGCAATAGTTTTACACGAATTATTTTTAGTAGTTTATTTATAATTAAGGATTTTTTAAATGTATATTAGTAGTTTGTTTATATACTTACCATAATAAACTCTTCATTTAGTGGTTGATACGTGATGTGATTACTGATGAACTGTGCACATCCATGCCATGTATACAATTCTGGATATGGCGGCGTACTTCGACGAATGCCAGTAGATGTAAATTTCTGTAAAAGTTAAGAGAGACTTATGTTAGAATATTTTTATAGTATATTAGTCCACTTGTTTAATTATTCAGTATTATAAAATCGTAATATTTCTGCTCCGATATATTTAGCAATACTTTGTCTGAACAATAAAAAGAATCTTTTTTTCAATATTTTTATCTTTTGATAAAGTTTCGCGAGATTATTTGCTAAGAAGATCGGTCCCAAATTTCCCACGCGTTGCGCGTCCATTAAAAGAAACCTGGTTTCTATTATGGAGACTGCATTGTCGCAGTCGCATATCATTTATGCTAAAGCGATTTTCGGTGACTAGATATTTCGAAACCGTAGATTCTTCCGCTTATAAATACTTACATTGTAATAACATGATACATGCAAACTAGAGGTAAACATGTGTCGATGAGAAAGATAGAGTGAACTAGTGAGAGACTTTGGAAGGCAAAAAGTGGGCGAAATTCTTAAAACTATCGGCCCAATCGGTGAATTCTTTCACGAATAATTGGCATATTATTCGTAAAAATAATTATGGCATCAACTCGACGAATCGATAGTTTGATAGTAATTGCTTGTTGATAAACTTCCCCACTGCACACGTTTGAATAAAGTAGCTAAAGCTAATAAATTGGAATCGAAAGCGATATCGCATAAAAAAGAATGGGTTGCGTACCACGCACATATATTGTCACTGATATTAAATAATATAAACGTGAGGGTTGAAATAAGTTTGCGACGCATAAAGGTTAAACTTTCAAGGCTGCCGCATCTGATAAAATGTGCATAACACGCGATTTAACCCTTTACGTTCCAAGGTTACCATCATACTGACCATAGATAACGAGCACTTATTTTGCACTCATATCCAAGCCGTTTGGTTAGTCTTGAATATAAAGGTCACTCTATAATTGCGAACATTTAAATGCGTATTATTTATTTATATGTTCGCGAATTCGCAGGATAAATTTCGTTCATTATGTTTAAATCATAAAAAATTAACCACTGATTCACAAGAACACAGATGCTTACAATAATCCAATATATAAAGAAAATATATCAAATAACGCATAAATTCAACAAAATATTTTATGTCTCAATATATAAAGTCAAAAAATAATGATATTATATCTTATAATAACGATAGAGATAAATAATATTACATTTTAATTAATAGAACATATTTTACTAATTTTACTTGCAGTACAGATGAAGAATTTAAAATGTTTTCGTTGTAAAATTTGTTTCTATCATCACTAAAGCAACATACGTTCGTTGAATCAACAGGTTCTTCGATGTTAATAATTGGTCGCGTGACGATATCGCGTAGTCATTTAAGTCAATATGGCAATATAGGGAAGTCGCTCAACAAGCGAATATATATCTCTTAAGAATCGGCTTTTAGTATAAACAGTAGATAAGTATAGCATAGGTATTCAAAGTAGAAAGTGTAAAGTATCACAAGAATTACAATAATCGTAATAATTACATTACGTCGCAAAGATTAAGTTCTTGACCTTATTACATCGATCGCACAGTAATTATAAGCGCTTTAATCACATCCCGCGCTTCGAACACGCGCCGATAGACAAAGGGATCTCTATCAAGTCGGATAATTCTCTGTAAATACATCAGTCTTTGACACAATAATTATAATAACACCACTGACAGGATAAAGCCGTGAGAAAGATCGTTTTATGGCATGAAGACAAAAGTACTTACATAAAACACGACTTGTATTTAGAACGTGGTCGAATGTAACGTGTTGCATTGCCGAAGGAGAATATCTCTCCGGTAAATTCTGCGAAAGATACTTTAATAGAAGAGAGAAAATGGATTTTTTTTGAAGTCCATTAATACGGTACATAAGCACTTATCAAGAAAATAGCTCAGCAGAATTGCTTTTTATGCGTGATAAGCCAAATCACTCGATTGGAGAGTAAGACGTCAATCCCGTATTGTGTTGGAAAAAGTGTGTTTCTGTTATCGATATACGTAGGTTTTGATTATGAGTAAAATATGAGATTTGAAATTTACCTATTTGGAACCGGGATTTCAATGATAAATAAATAATTAATAGTTGCATTGACATTTTTATGTACTTACTAGTCTCATGCTATCCAGAAATTTATGCGCAATGTTTGTGCCAGAATAGCAGAAAAAAAATAATCAATAAAAATAGACAAATTTTTATCTAAACTCTAAAATGTGTATAAAATATGACAAAACTTTGACAAAAGTATCACAACACGACAATAAATTTAATTTCGCTAAAGTTCTCTCGGTTCCATCTTCTTGAGCGAATTTCGCCCTAATAAAGATACAACTGCAACGATTTTATATTTGAAATTTTATCAGAATTAGCAGCAATTAACTAACATTATTATCAAATTTCGATCAAATATTTTAGCCCACAAAGATGCATGCACCAAAACCAATTTCCTTAGGCCATACAATTTATCTCCGATATTGTTAATCAAAGCGTACGCGAACAATACATTGTAGCTCACAATTTAAGTAGCTGTGGCTTGCGGCTGAGGCGGCGTCGGCGCCTGTGTATTGACATTTGGCCTATAAAACCGGTTGACTAATTGTTTTAAACTCATTACAACCCCTAATCCGGTTCCTGGTTCCATGTTGATGAATGAGTCGAGATTATCCTTGCACGCTGAAACGTTTGAAATGCAACAAATAAATAAAAAATATTATAAATAATTGATTATAAATACACACATATATGCTATTCGAGAAATTGTGGCATAATAAAAATCAGAGTAATTAGAACAAATAAATATTAGAACTAAATGCTATAGGACAAATATATTAATTTTAATTACATTTGCGCAAGAGTTACATTTGCGCAAGAGATATATATAGTTTTCAAGAGATTATATTGCTTCAAGAATTATGCAGAACATTTTCTGAAAATTTCAGAACTTTGTTAGATCTCTACATACTTGGTGTCGAGATCGGAGGATAATCTGGTGGTGTCTTGATCCATGTGCCATCCTTGCGCTTCATATGATGCCGACTTGATGCGAATTGTTGTAAATATACGCTGGCAGATACCAGACGGAATCTTCTGTGATATTCAGGCCGCAATGCTTCGTCAGATCTAAAGGTTTCGGTGGCATATTTCCAGAAATGTGTAGGGAACGGCAAAGAACTCTCTAAATCGTATACCACTGCCCTTTCGTCGGGCGCATAGATGAGAATAGCATGGTAATCCTACAGACAGAGCAATGCATTTGTGAAATATTACAAAACGGAAGTGTTCTTTGATTAATTATCACTCGTTTGCGGTACTAACCCACACAACTAATTTGTCCTCGTCCTTTCCTGCCCGTTGACGCCAAAGGGGAACGCTTCGTCGTGAATTGCTTACGAAAACAACATGACAATGTTGTAATTCAGAAGGATGTCTAGTCGCTACATCTTGGCAAAGCTTCCATACGTTTTCTTCGCTGAAATTGAGTACATATTCTTTCCTTCATCTTCAATCAAAAACATACGGCTAATATCTTGATTCACTTTTTGCGTGATAATTTAGTTATTATGTATAATTAATAAAATATATAATAGCACAAACTGAAATAGCAAAATGTATCATATATAAAAAATAAATGTGTACAATAAAATGTACAAATAATATATTAAAAAATCTCATAAAATATCATATTTCACGTCACATCAATATCACATAGCGTTCGAGGCAAAATGCCCGAATAAAAATATAGTGTAACATATATTATTATTAAATAGAAAGTATAATTTTTAAAAATACAGTAAATACCAATTAAAAATTGTTCGTGTATTATAAAATAGAACACCATTCATTGATAATATTATATATTAATAGACAAAAAAATATGCATGAGAGAAATATAAATATCTATATTTCATTTGATAGCATTTATCTTTTCAAGAAAAATTTAAAAAAGATTTTTACACTGAATCATTTGTTCTATATAATGCCCTATATAAAGCTTAGCTTAACAAAATGAAAAAATAAAGTGAATGTAAATAGTATACGTGTTTTATAGAAGACAATGTTAAATTAAAGATTAATGAAAAAATACATTCATGAACACATATAACTCTGAAATAATATATCCAGCAATACGATGAAAATGATACAATGGAATTCTAGTTTTATCATACAGTAAAAAATTCAATCTGTTGATTCAAGAATTAGTTTAAAAATGGCTAACGATAAGATTGACGAACGTAGTGCATACTTCTGTTAGTTGGAATAATCACTATTTTAGCATAATAAAAAGATTAGTCTAGTTTTCCGACCAGGCTACGTGCCCCTTGCAATTATAAGAAAAAGGAAACCAACGTAAACGCGTTCGTGCAAGCGGTTTAACACAACACGGCCTCGCGTGCCGCGTTGTGCGCATTATCAATATCGTATACATTATTAATTGCAACAAAAGCGGACCCGTATATTCCGCTTAAGTAGTACGTAAACGAGTCGCGAAACGATGCAGTATCGCCACATGCCTTGAATTAGTAAATACTCGTTACTCCAAAACCCATTTCATAAAAAGTAAGAGCAATATAAAATACGAATAAGAAATTGCATGAAAATTTTCGTTACATTTGTTGATATATACAACTAATTTATTTGCAACGAAATGCATATTTATCAATAGAGAGAATCCATACATATTAAAATGATAGAATATATATTACTATATTATGCAATGTGTGTCAATAAAATCATAAAATTATATATTTATACATTAAATATATTTTTAAATAGAACTTTTAATAAATATATCATCTTTATGTGTGAACGTGTCTGTGAAATGCATATAGAAATGTTTAATTTAGATTATTAATATATCATGATATAATATATAGCTGTCAAGTTTCTCCAAAAAATATAATTTCCATATATTATAAATTCATATAAAAATCGTATAATTGATGAGGCAGAAGTACAATAAAATTTAAATTAATTTATTTACAACATGAAGTTGCGTTTCTTTGTTACTCAACTTTAAATCTTTAAAATATGTATATAATATACGCTGTCAGAGAGTTACTGCTTGTCTATTTTTTCAATGTACATATTCTGTTATATTCAAATATATCATCGAAAGATGCCAATTTTTTAAAGAGAAAGATAAGCCTAATTGTTTGTATATTTATTGTGCGTTTCGAATCGCACGCCACGCGCATACTGCAAACATGGCCGCAAACTCGCTCGCGGCTATCTGCACCGTCGCAACGTATCGATCGGAGCACGGTGCATGTCGCAATACGACGCGTTTATTTGTCCGAAGATCGATCGCCACTTCGGGGCACGCCATATCGAGCGCAAATCGCGGCTATGTCGTGCAGGGTACTCACCAGTAGCAGCTCGTATTCACGCAATCGGATGCCTTCGTGAACAACGGCACCAGGGGTTTAGCGTTCCCGGTCACGCGAGGTTCCACGGCCATATCCTTCGCAAACGCTTCTACCGGACGTGGGGCACTACGCGAGATACGACGCGAACCGAGACACGCACACAGGTTAAGCGGACCACGCGCACTCCGCGAGCTTCATAACGAAATATTAAAGATGACTGCGTCTTACTCAATAAACTCTCAATCGCGATCCGTGCGTCCGACTGACCGGAACATTGTTTGATTACTGCACCATCAGTGCGGCTCGGCTCGCGGTCGAGCCGTCGAGCCAGTGTCCCCAGATCGTGAGAAAACCCCACCACTCCACGGTACATCTAGGAACCTGCGCAATCGACCATTGTTTTAATCATAGACATAGTATTTATATCTAGACCGAGCGTTTGCCTTTATTTAAAGAGTGGTGGTAAAGATGCACATAGAAAAGGACATACTCTGTTTCGTGACCCTGCGTTCTCTCTCGCTCGCACGTAGCATAGCGTACTCTTTCGCTATGCTACATGCGAGTGAGAGAGAACGCAAGGGGCATGGAACAGAGTATGTCCTTTTCTACATGCACCTTGACCCTCACTCCTCAACACTCGGTCTAGATATACTATGTCTATGGTTATATATATATATTGATAATATTTTTTAAGTAAAAAAAGAGAAAATTTAAGAATATAAATTGTATGTTAAAATCAAAATATTAATTCGACTATTCGAATCAAACCAAACACTCGAATATATTTTTGAGTATTTGCACTCTTTTAATAAACCGAGAACAGAGAAACAATAGCTTTATTTTGCTTCTATTTTATTATACTCTACTACCATTCGTTAACAGTATATTATTTAGCTGATAAGGAGTCTGTGTCATATATCTTTTTTAACTTTAAAAATTCTCTTTTTGTAATGAGTTTAGTGATACTACTTTTGCAATAAAATATATACGTGACTAAAAACTGAGTGACTAACGCTTGGCTGCTACGCCTTTGTAGATTTTTACTCGATTTGATAACATTGCGTAAAAAAAATATATAACTGCACGCATATGCGTCTATGAACGATGCAAAAGTAAACACGAATGAAGTGCAATGTATTTTTCGCAATTGCGTGTCAAACTATTATCACTGGAAAATAATATTAGATTCATTTCTACCATTTCTCGTTAACAGTTTAATGAAATAAACCTCATTTTTTTACGATAAATCGTTTCGTTTATGGCGTGAAAAAGTTAGTTCTTTGAATGGTATGTTATATATATTTTTATTTTTTATATTGATATTATCTAATTTAATGAATAAAATGAAAAAATTTGAGAGACCGTATATAAATATAGCTTTTTGCCAATTGTAAAAACAAAAAAATTATTATATTTATTCACACATTCAACAAACGTCATATTATTTTGTACAAAGCGCATTTATATTTAATCTTTACATATAATTAGAACGCATTGAAATTGTTTGTTCGCAACTAATGTTGATAATGATAAAGTGGAGACCTTGTGTTGTCCGGATATCACATGACCACCTACTTATATCATGCTTATCATGCTTATAAAGCTTGTCGCATTCGTCCTCTATTTTTCAGTTGCCACCGCCACCGATTTCGTGTGGAATGCATATTATTGATGCGTTTATACATTTTCTTTGTATCTATTAAAATCACGTAATAAAGTGTGCAATTGTGCATTATATGAGATAATAACAACTGTAACAATGGCTATAAATGCTGCGAAAGCTATACTCAAACAAGGAAAAACTGCGCTATTCATATGTGATGTTCAGGAAAAATTCGTTAAGGCTATACATGAATTCGATAAGATTGTTCAAAATTCATCAAAATTGGTAAATCTATCAAATTGCGCATATTAAATATTTATAACATATATTTTGTACATACAAGTAAATTTATGCATAATTGTGATAATTTACATATATTGAAAATAATTGAATTTGATTGAAATTATGCACATATGTCGGAAGGTTATGTTATTTTGATATTTATAAATATTGCGATTTATTGTTTAATTGATATCGTAAAGTATATTGTAATGTAATACATCATTATGACGATATAAAATAAAATTGTTCACAGATCAATGCTTTGAAGCTTTTGAATGTGCCTATGCTAGTTTCTGAGCAAAATCCAAAGTCTTTAGGAAAAACCATACCTGAATTAGATATTTCTGGAGCAAAAGGACCTTTCGCAAAGACTCAATTTAGTATGTGTACTCCTGAAGTAAGTACATACATATACAAAAATCTTGCATTTTATAAAATAATATTAAATAAACACTGTAATATATAATATTATATAAATATATATTTATTTTATTTTCTTTAGATTTGTAAAGAGCTTGAGACAATTTGTTGTGGAGGAAGACCAGACTCTATTATACTTATTGGCATTGAAACACATGTCTGCGTAGAAAATACAGCTATTGATTTGAGACAAAATGGCTACGAAGTTCATACTGTCGCAGATTGTTGTTCTTCGCGTACTCAGGAAGATAGATTATTAGCTTTGGAGGTGAAATGTTATTCTTTCTCAATTTATTATTGATGTGTGTGTATGTATATATGTAATTAATTAGAAATATCTTTTTTTACAGAGAATGCGAGATGTAGGATGCCACATAACTACTTCTGAGAATGTTATATTCAAAGTTTTACGAGATGCAAATCATGAACAATTCAAAAATGTATTAACTCTGATCAAAACACCAACTCTGTACACAGGATTAGTTTCTACATCAAAGATATAAGTATTCCTAAAAAAATTATCTACACAACAATTATTATCAATCATAAATCTTATACCAGTAATATGTTTAATATAGCTTGTTTTTTTATAGTTTTTAATACATTTTGTTAGAATTTTTTCTATGTTAGTAGTTTTAAGCAATTGTAAGGAATTCTGAAATGAAAAAATTTTTATCAGAAAACTGGTTTTATTTGTACAGGATATAGAAAATGATATAATACATTATGCAATAATAATGTATAATATAAAATGTGCAATGTTTAATGATATAGTACACTGTAAATTAAATAGATAATAGGCTGACATGAGTTTATCTTCTGTTTATTTGCCTGTTGAACCAAATCCTCCTATACCTCTATTTGTATCACTTAGAGATTTTACTTCTTCTAATTTGGGATATATGATCCTTTCGCATATTAATTGAGCTATACGATCACCAGGTGCAACTTCAAAATCCTCATTGCTATGATTAAATAGTACTACACCAAGATTACCACTGTAAACAGAAAATAAAAATAATAACATGTAGACTCTTTAATATTTTTAAGATATGTAGAAACTATATACATACCGATAATCTGCATCTATAACACCTGCACCTACATCTATGTGATTTTTCCATGCTAATCCAGATCGTGGTGCAACTCTACCATATGTACCAAAAGGAACTTCTATTTGTAAATCAGTTTTAACTAATTCCTTGCCATGGGATGGTATAATATACTTGTATGCACTTTATCATACAAAAGAAAGAAACAGAATATTTTTAAAATCTTTTACATAATCTCTTAAATAACTATTTTAATTACTCTTATAGAAGAGAAAGGAGTTTTGTAGTAATCATAAAACATTAAATTAATAATAAATAACGGATAAATTACTTAACACGCTATGTTTTGAATAGAATTATTAGATTACTAGATTATTAGATTACTATATATTAAAGTGCTTATTAATTTTTAGTATATATATATATATATTCCAAATATTTATAATATCTGTAATAATTGAATAATGACAAATTGATGTCTGATTAAATTGCTTCTCACATATTATCTACATAACATTTATAATTAGTAATGACAATGAGTGGTAGAAATTAGTATTCCTTTTAGGAATAATATACCTCCGTAAATCGTATCCTGCCGCATATTCCGAACCTTTCATCGGCGCAAATGCTTTGTCCGACAATTTTGCGAACTTCAGTGAAATGGCTTCGTTTTCCGACATAATTATTATCTGTGAACTGGCTTCACTGCGAACACGTCACAAACTATAATGCCACGCTTTACCTTTACCACACTTATCTGCCGGTTTCCCGCCAATTTTTTGGCCGCGTTCAGCAGAGAGAACCGTTTAGTAGCAATCGAATGTGATTGGCTCTTAGTTTTAGAACCAACGAATCAACGTCGAGTATTGACAAGATGATAACTGAGCAGTTTCTCTGCTAAACGCGGCCATTGACATTTATATATATATATATATGTATATCTAATTAATCTATATATTTTCATAAACTTACTTAATCCGTAACACTCGACAAAATTTGCAAAACCAAGAAAAGAAACGTGGCATATTTCGGCAATTGTAATCGTTGGAAACTATAATGCATAATAAAATCATCAATATTATAATCGTTGATTAAGCCGCGAAATTTAAACGTATTAATTTACTGCTTTGCTGAAAAAAAGAAACTGCAAGAAATAAACCTGTCGCCATTTTATATTGTTATTGTTTTTAGCAACTTTTTATGATTATCACTATAATGTTATCTATAATATATTTTTAGAAATTCTTATCTTATCTTTGATAATAAAAATGTAATAATAAAAAAAAAGATAAGTCCAATACTGTCGAAATGGAATAAATGATAATATCTATACGTCTATATAAAATACTCCATAGGAATAACAAAATATATACATTACACATATATTAGCTATAAAACTGCGCATTATTAGTATTGTTGATATCAACAACATGTGTACCGACCTTTCATGTGATTGCATAAAGCGTATCGTACATAGCTCGTCATCGTTCGTATTTAAAATACTATAAAAATGAAACGTTTCAACACATTTAATATTCGGAGAAAAACCAAGAAAAATTGCCTTTTTACATGCAAGTGTGTATGCACATGTGCTTAACCGACTATGCAACGCGCACGCGTAGTTGACAAACGCGAGATCGATAGTCGCAAACTAATACGTTCACATGATCCGTGATCTGTATGATCAGCTGATTGCTGTTTAGCAGCATGTTGACAACGATAGACAAATAAAAATTTGTCGGAGAAAATCTGTAATTGATACCTGTAATTATTAGACAATAGCAAATCGTTAACGCTCGTGTAGCGAACGACAATTTATATAACCTCGTTGTAAATCTTAGAGGCTTATTCATGTTTCTTTAATTTTTTAAATTATACTAACAATAAGCATTGTCCTCGCTTTTGCTTCTGAGTCGTCTTATTTTTAGTGCTCCTCTCATCTCTTCCTTCTTTTTATCGAAATATTCACAGCCGATATGTTGTTGCTTATAGTATCGGTAAATGGATTATATCCTGCTCTCCGCATTGTTAATCGAGCCGTTTACGTTGTGCGTTAATTACGCGTGATAATACGTGCTCCATTTTCGCTATATATGTAGTAGTATGAACCCTTCTGCTTCATGATGCAATATTACTCGTAACTTTTGTTACCGTAAAGAGCATTTGATCCGGATATCAAGTCTAATGCCACGACAAAGTTAAAAGCCGTTTTTTATAATGGCAAAATTATAATAAGATTGAAAATAACCGCAAATGTTTTAAGGGAGTCGTATGTTCGACATCACCGACAACCGACAACTGATAAGATATACGCTTATCATGTCATACGGAAGTCGCAAGCATACGCTTGATTAATCATCGTAAAAGAGTCTCAGATCGATGGAGACCCTCGAACTTAACCTTAGGTTTTCAATAAAGCGTAATATGATGCGCTTCGATAAAAGAATATGCATATCGGCATAGAATAACTTGCTTCAGTCGACTTTATCTATGTGAAAAGGTCGGTTTATTCAGGCACAAGAGCTTTTAGTTTACAAGTCTTAAGATTCTGCATGTAATAAAAAAATATGTATTTCTAGAATTAAAGTATTAAATTTAAAAAATCTATAATTTTAATGAGAGAGGAGAAAAAGAGAGAGAGAGAAGGAGAAATATCTTCAGTGTCGGTTTTATATAAATATAAATATATCAAATGTATGTCTTTAAATATTAAATGTTATGTTCAAAAAAATCCCTAAAGTAAAATACAGAAATATCACATATAAGAAATTTAAAACGCAAAAAAAATTTCTACAAAAAAGAGAGAAAGGTCTGTCAGATCTCAAATGGAAAACTTACTTGGGATCTGACAAACTGCAGAAAAACCTACTCCATTTCCTTATGCATTTGCATTTCGAAACGGAACGCACCCCTAGACTGCTTGTTCAGTGCAATTCTACCGTAGCTAAAATGAACAAACTTCAAGACTCTCCCATTCTATTGAGTTTACTCTCTTACGAATTTTAAGTCCGTGAATTTTTTGGAAACTTTCAATATGTTGAATAAACGTCAAAGAAATTTATCAAGAAAATTTTTGTTAATTAGATGACTGTTTGATGCATATATAGTTCTTCGTAAACAATTGTGATCTATATTATGGAGTGTGTTGAAATAATATAAAAATGCAATAAACGAAATTAATTTATTATTTTATATCTGTAAATAATTAAGGTTAGTGTATTTAACAAAACATTCTTGATCCGTTAAACTAAATTATATACATAGCATGTAGAATTAAATGCATGTAGAATTTAATTTTTATTAAACAATTTATTAAATTACTCTTTTTTCAATTTGCAAAAAATTTATACATAAATATACCATTATCTATTTATACATAATGTGTGGTTATAAATATTTAGATCTAAATTAATTTCAAATACACTTCATGTAAATTTATCGTTTTAATATTTTATCAAATTGTAATACATCTCAATATAATATTTATTTTATATATATTAATTACAGTATTTTGTATAAGAAATGGAATTTGGCTTAAATTTACTTGTTTGTATAAATAGCTGAACTTTAATACTTGTTTTTTATTTTAAGTTTGCATGGTTTTGTTTAGTTTGTCAGAGTTAAAATGTCCAATTCAGAGGCTGATGTAGGATGCATCAATGAGGTAACACTTGCAATTAGTAAAGCAAGAAGTTCTCAAGCAGGTACCGTGAGAGTTCTTGATAGTCCTGACTCAGATGGATTTGGTCACTCAAATTCTTTTGTGCAACAATTTAACTATTCCAATGATAACAATACCAACTCAGATATTCTTCAATCACCCCTCACTAGTGACGATTTGAGAATACCTATTGTTGGTTATGAAATTATGGAGGAAAGAGCTAGATTTACAGTTAGTTAATGCTGTATATTAGTAATTCTCTTATCCTCTCTTATTACTCTACATCATGCTAAATTATATATTAATATGTCAATATTTTTTTTCTATCATAACACATAAATATAAATACTGTATCTTGCATGCAGAAAAATATTCTCTCTTATTACTCTACATCATCATGCTAAATTATATATTAATATGTCAATATTTTTTTTCTATCATAACACATAAATATAAATACTGTATCTTGCATGCAGAAAAATATATGCCTTTTATACTTCTTAATTATATATAAATCTTTACTTTAAAATGTAAAACTAAAATATATGAAAAATATGAGAGCTGTTTTATTCATATTGTTCTCTCTCTTTGATACGTAGGTTTACAAACTTCGAGTTGAATTGAAAAATGGTGATTGTTGGTTTGTGTTTAGAAGATACACAGACTTTGTTCGATTATTAGCTCAATTAAAAAGACAGAAGGTTCCTATTGCTCATTTATCTCTACCAAGAAAAAAATGGCTTGGTGATAATTTTGCTCCAAGTTTTTTAGAAGAAAGAATATGTGGGCTTCAAGCATTCGTTAATGGCATATTGAGCAGTTCAATTCTCATAGGTGTTTCGTGCGTAAGAGAATTCTTCTGTTTGGATGAACCTCCTGTCTTATCCGATACAGCAGAGGAATCTAGAGTTAGCTTCATATCATGTACATCAGGTTTATAGATTACAGCAGATTTTGTGTTGTTTAATGAAATGTCTATTTTTTCAGGCAATATTTGAAGCACTAGAAGATACAATTTATAATTTAAGACAACAACTAAGAGAACGTGATGCAATACTTGCATCTGAAAAAGCTCGGTGCAATGAATTCCGGAAAAAGCTTCATCAGATACTGAGGTAAGCCTCGAAAAAGATTATTAATATTTTTTTTTTTATAAAACATTATTCTGAACTGTTTCAGTGAAAGACAAACCTGTTCAAAATGTGGTGCAACTCAATAATAATTTTATAGACTGTCATAATATCAGATCTGATAGAGTTAATTTGTACAAAGTTTAAATCAATCAGCTATTATAAAGAAATTAGTATACACAAGATTATTTAAAAACTGTCATTATAAGTAAGATATTTATCAGTGATATTTTACAGGCAGGATATTATATTAACTGTTATATTAGCATTACTTTATCAGCAAGCTTTGTATATAAAATTCTACTCACAAATTTTTTAATTTGGTTAAATATTTTTATACAAATTTTTAATAATTGATATTATTTATTAAGATAAATTACAAATGATATTTCACATAAATAGATCTTAAATTTTTTGATATATATATAAATTTATATTTACTACTTATCTATAGAAAAATTCTATCTTCTCCATAGAGATGAGTATTTCTCTTTTCAACTTCCAAAAATATATTTACTATAAATATAATTTCCATTACACTTTTCATGAAATTTATGTTCAAATCAAGTATTTAAATCATTATGATTAAATCAAATAACAAGCTGAATAACAGATTATAATAGTTTCTGCATTTTTTCCATTATAGTAATTCAAACTTTTATTCAACTGAACAAAGAAATTGGAGGGGTTAAAAAACTTTTATATATGAAATAATATTTTTGTATAATATATATATATTTTTGTTTTTTTTTATATAAGAAATGATATATTTACTTCTTTT